GGAACCTTGTAGACACTACCTTAGCCAAGTGATGAACATTAACTTCACCAGTAATGGAACAAACCAGTTATCACATACACAACATTATGTCTATGGTATTTCGCCAAAAAAATAAAAATCCCAATGATGAGGTAACATCAGACAAATTCGAATGGGGAACATTCTACAAAATTATTTTCAAAGATGAAAGACAAACACAGACTGAAGAACTATTCCAGATCAAACAAGACGTGATGGCTAAATTACACCCTGTGACCACAAAGTTTTGGGACTTCGTTTTTGCTGCTATACAGATTTTTTTTAAAACAAATAGTGAAGTATGAGGTCCACAGATTAAATGCTAGGGTGATAGTAATTTTCTGATTTTGATCATTGTACTTTGGTTGTGTAAGAGAATAATAATAAAATACACATTTTAGTGCTTAGCAATAAAGGACCATCCTCTTGGCAGTTTACTCTCAAATGGCTCTGAAGCAAATGTATATGTGTATGTGTGGAGAGAAAGAAAAAAAAGAGGTGGCAGGGGGAGAGACAGAGAAGGTAATAGAGAAAATTTGATAAAACGTTACCAACTAGAGAAGCTGGGTAAAGGGTATATGGGAGCTCTTAGTACTAGTCTTACAACTTTTTTGTAAGTCTGAAATTGCATCACAATAAAATTTATCTAAGATAAGGATAATGGGATTCAAAAATAAATAGCAAATAAATGAAACAAAAGTCTTATAGTTTTGTTTGGCAAAATGTTGATGTTTTTTAAAGTTGGGTGATAGATACATGGGGATTCATTGTATTATTTTGTCTACTTGATGTATGCTTGTAAACTTCCACAATATAAAGACATTTAAAAGGGAATTAATCTACAGTGATCTCTTCATTGATAAATGTGAATTTACTTTCTTCTTAAATATTCTTGTTTATTTAGGGCATTTATTTATAGATTCAACTCAAACCCTAGCAAAATTAAATCTAACTTATTTGCAGAAACTGACATGCTGATTCTAAAATTCGTATGGAAATTCAAGGGACCCAGAATAGCCAAAATGGTCTTGAAAAGAAGAACATAGTTCCAGGACTCACCCTTCTTGATTTCAGAACTTACTACAATGGTTCACTTATCAAGATGGTGCAGTACTGGAATTAGGGATAGAGATCAGTGGAATAGAATTGCGAGTATAGAAATAAACCATATATTTACGGCCAGTTGACTTTGGCAAGGGTGCCAAAACAATTAAATAAGAAAAGAATATTATCTTTTCAACAATGCTGAGATAGAGACCTAGTCATATGAAAAACAATGAAGTTGGACCCCTACCTCACACCATATACAAAAATTAACTCAGAATGGATCAAAAACCTAAATGTAAAATTAAAACTATAAGACTCTTAGAAGAAAATAAATCTTCATGACCTTGGGTTAGGCAGTATTTTCTTAAAATATAAGCCCAAAAATATGAGGAACAAAAGAAAAATAGATAAATTGAACTTGGTCACAATAATTTTTTTGTGCTCTAAAAAAGCAAAAAAACAAACCACAGAATGAGAAAACATTTTTGCAAATCATATATCTGATAATAGACTTGTATCTAGATGATAAAGTACTGTTACAACTCAATTTTTAAAAAGGGGCAATGGATCTGAATAAACATTTCTCCAAAGAAGATATACAAATAGCCAATAAACACATGAAAAGATTTCCAACACCATTAGCTTTCAGAGAAATGCAAATTAAAACCACAATGAGATACCACTACACAACCACTATGATACCTTTTTAATAAAAAATGATAGATAATAGTTCCTAAGTTAAATATAGAAATTACTATATGACACAGCAGTTCCACTCTTAGGTATATACCTAAGAGAAATGGAAATACATGTTGGCACAAAAATCGATTCACAAATGTTCATAGTAGCATTATTTAGAGTAGCCCTGAAGTGGAAACAACCCAATGTCTATAGCTGATGAATGGTGTATGCATACAGTGGAATATTGTGGTGCAATAAAAAGAAGTGAAGTACTGGTACAACATGAATGAAGCTCAAAAACATTATGCTATATGAAGAAGCTAGTCACAAAGGGCCACATATTGTATGATATCATTTAATATGAAATGTACAAAATAGGCAAATCTATGGAGACAAAATAATTTGTGATTTGTCTAGAGCTGAAGGGGAGGGGTCAAGAGTGTATGTGGGCAAAGTGGGAGGGATGATGGCTTAGGTGCATGAGGTTTTATTTTGGGGTAAAGAAAATGTTCTTAACTTCTTGTAAGTGTGGATGCACAAGTTTGAATCCACCAAAAACCATTGAATCACATACTTTGAATGAGTGAATTATATAGTATATGAATTATATCTCAATAAAGCTGTTTTTTTAACAAAAATTTGATCATTCTTTTGTAAGATAACAAGTTCAACAAGAAGAGAGCTGTATATAAAAAGTATTAGTGTAGTTTGGCGTTGTTTTCAGCTTGCATTTCAATAGTTGCTGTCATTAGAAACTGCTTTTGAAATGTTTGTTCTCAAAAGCAACTTTCATGTTTTGGATAAACAAAAGTACATGAAACCATTTATTCATTCTGCATTCAATTTAGCCAATCCACAGTGTAACCATAGATGTTAGAATCAATTGGCATGTAGAGAAACATAGCTAGAATTGGCTGTAAGATGAAGTCTTACTAAGGAAAGGAAGCTACTTGTGGAAGTATGCTTGACAGGACTGAGATAGTACTGGCTGGTTACTGATATTATTAGTGTCATGTGGATAACTGTTATTCATCAGTTTTTAGAGACAGAATCATTGTCTTCCATCGCTTATCTCAAAATCTCAGTCAGTTAAAAATTGATTCACAGAAAGTGAAGAAAAAGAAAGTTACCTGTGAACTTGAAAGATTTATCTAAATTAAATTTTTACCTGGCCTACCTAGGTAAGAAAGTCACTTAGAAGTTAATCTGGTGGTTTGTTAAGAACTAGTTAATCTAGTAGTTTTGTGATGAGTAGCTTGAAAATGAAGATTTTTAATATAACTAATTCTTTTCTAGGCTTGAGTTTTATGTCGTTTTTCCAATAAAAGTAACATTTTTTTCTCTCAAATTGTAACAATTGGAAAAATTTTTAAAAAAGGAATTATGTTCTGTGAAATAATCATTTGTGACTTTAAGGTTGAAGAAGGTAACAATAGTGGAAGTTTAAATGCAAAAAATATTAATAGTATCTTAGTGTTTCTATATTGAAGTTGTGTTTCATTAAATTGAATCAAATGCAAAATAGCTTTATTTTTCTCTACATGATCCTAAATAACAATTGTAATTATTTTTTCACTCAGTTGTGAAATTATATAGACATAGTTACATTGCAGATGAGTTCTACAAAAATTTCTACTATTGAAGTTCAGAAAGTTTTTCATTAATATTACTGATGTTTTAAAGACAGTGGAACAGACTAATGGGTTGAAATGTGAGTTTTTCAAAATAGTACAAAATTTCTAATTGCTAATGTTTGAGCATTTTTTGCCTTTTCCTTTCCCAAGGCCATTATAAGGGTTTCACTTGATTTCTTCCCTGCTCTTAACATTTGAAAAGCTTTAGGCGAGAAGTAATTTGGGGATTCTATGCAATCTGATGGGGAGGAAAGTAAAGGTGAAGTAATTTTTCTGGGAATTTTGTGGAGAGGGCATGTAGAGAAACTGGACTGTGAAGAAAGTACATAGGAGAAGAAAGAAGAATTTTTAAAAGTATTGTTCAAGAAGTAAAATCAAAGAACTTAAGTTATTTTGAAATTAGTTTTCCATTGCCTTTGGGTTCCTCTGGCTATAAGGCAGCTTGAAATGAGATAACATGGGTCAAAGATTTAATGAAGTTGGGAACGGTCAAAAGGTTTATAACAATGACTGTCATGGAAATGTGGAGGAGGAGAGAACAATCTAATCTGGAAATGGAAAGTACTGCCACAAGGTGACATTCATTGTTGTTTTTTCGTTGATCAACATTTTATTATTTAAGCAACAAGTTAAGTAATTGATTTATGGCCTACCATTTTTTTCTTACTTGAAAAACAATTGTTTTTCTCTTTTGAGGCATTCAACATTATATTGGACTAGGGAAGAGGAACATATAAAAAAATGGAGTAAAATTTAATTCTAGTATGTCTTTTTTATGTATAAAACAAACTTGACATGTCTTTTTCTTTTTGTCCTATGTTCCATCAAATCCTGCTTGATACTTTTAGCCAAACTGTTAGCATTTTCTCTCTAAGTGGAAGTATAGAGATAATCTTTAAAGTAACCAGGTGTCATATCAATTCTTCAAGATTTTAATATCAATCACTATGGCAATCATCTTTTTTCTTTTAGCCTTATTTGTTGTTTCAGCTCTTAAATTCATCAAGATTCCATAGATAAAAGATTTCTAGAGTTATCCTTGACATTGTAACTTGTAAGTGAATGGTCTTCAGTATTATTTGTATATGTAATATAACCATTACATGCTATTATGTAGTGGAAGCATAATGCTTCCAAAATGCAAGAGGAGGGGTAATTTTTATAGACTGTCACTGCTAGGACTTGGACTTTTAAAGAAATGCTTCCTTCATTTGGATGGACTCTTTCATTATCAACATTTCTGTGAAATTATCTGGCTTAAAACCCCTGATATTACTTTAGAGAAAAATTGATTGGTCATGTAGAAAATTAGGCTCTTGAGGCTTTTTAGAGGGAACCTAACCAGTTTAGTAGATCATGTTTTTGTTTTCACTTTGTGAAAACAAATTGGAAAAGTAAATGGGAAATGTAAAGATGATAAGGACTAAGTTCTCTCTGCTTTTTATTAGTAATATGACCTTATAAACATTCTTTACCACCATTGAAACTCAAATTAATTCGTGAACAAAATGAAATTTCATATTCACTAATGATTTCAGAAATTGGTACCCAGCTAGCAACCTTGCAAACTGGAAAATCCATTAATTGGAAATGAACTTCCTGTACATTGTTTTCTTGCAGGGAATAAATCACAAGACAGTGGCATTGCAGAGATGGAAGAACTTCCTGTACCACATAACATCAAAATCAGCAATATTACCTGTGACTCATTCAAGATTTCATGGGAAATGGATTCAAAATCAAAGGATCGCATTACACACTATTTCATTGACCTCAATAAGAAAGAGAACAAGAACTCCAATAAATTTAAACACAAGGTAAAATTTAACAAATACTCATGCTCATTTGCATCTTAAAACTTTCTAAGTATGAGGACATTTTAAAAGAATGAATAATATTCTACTAATGGCTTATGTGATGTAGTTGACTGAAAAAAATAAAAATTATATGTAATTTTAAAACCCTGTCATTCTAAGAAGTTTTGTAAGAAAGGAAATGCCATGTTTATTGTTAGAAGATAATTTTCAAAAAAGGTAAAATTATGAATATCATCTAAATATAAGTTATTTTACGTTAAAGATTTTATTTAACTTATTAATGAGAAAACCAATGAGGTGTTATAACCAGTTCAAACAGTAATCCAAAGAAAAGACCTATCTGTAGATCCAGGTATAAACTAGTATGAAAGTTCTAATGGGAGGGGTGAAAAAGAGGACTGTCCTCCACTGAACATAATTTATTTGTGTATATTTAAACAAGAAGAACTGAATTGTTATCAGTTTCTACAAAGTACAGAATTGTAAAATGGCTTCCATAACAGAAACAGATAGCCAGAAGAGGGTGCTACAGGCATAGTGCTGTTATATGAACACTTTCTACAGAAAGCTTCTGGGAAAAGCAAAACGGTGCCATTGTCAAAGAATCTTAGTTTCAGTGAAATAGGAGTATATATAGCTAACATTTATTAATCACTTTCCATGGGCTGGTGTAGCAGTTATCTACTGGCATGTTAGTTCTGTGTAACCAACAGCCACAAAACCTGTGTCGTACAACAGTCAAAACTTTTTATTTCTCAGGACTCTATGGGATAATTGAGTTATTCTGTTAATCTAGGCCAGACTTAGCTGGGCTCACTATGGGTCTTCAGTCAGCTACAGTTTGCCTAAGTGTTTTTGCTGATCTTGGTTGGGCTCCAGCATGTTTGGAAGTTGGCTGGCTCTAGGCTGGCTGTTTGGGATACCTTTGCTATCTTCTTGTGATCTTTAATTATTAGTACAAGCAGGTTAGCCTACGCTTGTACTTATGGTAGCAGAATTCCAAGAGAAGGTGAGCTGATACAAGTAGGTTTTTAAGCTTCTGCATGAATATTATCTATTAACTTCCTACTGGCCAAAGCAAGTCACTTGCTTGGGACCAGAGTGAACTTTAGAAACAAAACTCAAAAGTTTTTCAGCCCTTTCTTTGCCAGAGTATAACACTTTTAGGCAGTGCATAGTTTTCCAATGCAGCATACATTTTTTTCTATAACTGCCAAAAAAGGAATCTGATGCAGCTTATAAACTTCAGGATATTTTTAAAACACTTTAGAGCTGAAAACTGCTTTAGGTAGTCAGCTGTCTTTTGCTTTTAGGGTTTTGTTTTGATAATGAATTTTTTTGTCTTTTGCTTTTTAGTTTTGAGAATGAAAATTATTAACATTTAGATGTCTTTAGGCATATAATCCTGATACTTATTCACATGCTATATATCTTTTCTGATATATCTCTTTCTCCAAAAGTATCTATAAAGAAGATAAGTTATCTGCTTTAAGCATTCTTCCTTAAGTTGCAGTGTTTTCACTGATGATGAAAATCTCATCTATTTTTTTAATATTGATATTAAGTTTTAACTTGGTAGATACTTTGGAACTGTCTTATCTTGCCTAGAAATTTTGTTTTTATTAGATGTGCAATTATACATACTAAAGATTACTGAGGATAATACATACTAGAGATAAATGTGAAAGAGAGAACCAGATTAAACAGTCATTATTTTTCCTGAGTTCCTAATTCTGATTGTGCTTTCTAGTGATGGATATTCTCTTTGCTGACATTTGCCTTGTCGATATAGCTCTGAAATCTCTTAAATTTTAAACATTAAATGATGAATTTTTCAAGATTTGATCCCTTTTTTTCACTCTTCAGTTGTAATTCCATATCCTTGGAAATGTAGTGAATATTCAACTAGCAGGTTTAATTAATCACCTTGCTAATCATTGTTTAGAAATGCCTAAACTTTTCTGTGACACACAGACTCTGTATTTGAATGAAGGTGAAGCAAAAATTCACATTTTTAGTGTTTTCTCTTTTAAGATATAAAATATCAAGTAATGGCAGCATTACTAAAATATTGGGTAGTATAAATTAAGCAAATATTTAATAATATTGAATTATTGAAATATTTATACTATTGAAAATTTTTAATATTATTAAATTTTATCTTTTATGTCTCTGTTTTTTAAAGTTTTGTCATTATGAGAATGTTGCATTTTGAGGAGCTTATAGTGTACAGAAAAGAACACCATACTAGAAATCAAGAAAACTGGAATCCAAGTACATTTATGTTACTAACAAGCTGTATGACCTCGAGCATGTCTCTTAATAAAGTTGGGCCTTAGTTTTTGCATATGGCAAATAAGAGATTTATATATAATAATTGTTAAGTATTTTTAAGCAGTAAAATTCTATTGTCAGGAATTTAATAAGTTCTTCTCTATTGTTTACAGTTGATTAAAGTTATACTGCTAAATTAACTTCTTCCTCTCCCCTCCTTCCCTTTTTCCTTCCTTCTCCCTTCCCTCCTTCCTCCCTTCTCCCTTTTCTTCCTTCTTTCCTTTTGTTCTCCCTCTCTATCTCCCCTCATTTTTCTCTTTCTCTTCCTTCTTTCCTTCCTAGGATGTTCCCACAAAATTGGTGGCAAAAGCTGTTCCCTTGCCTATGACTGTCCGTGGACACTGGTTTTTAAGCCCAAGAACTGAATATACAGTGGCAGTTCAGACTGCCTCAAAACAAGTTGATGGTGATTATGTTGTATCTGAATGGAGTGAAATTATAGAATTCTGCACCGCAGGTAAGAGAACTAGGTACAAATACAGAAAAAAACTTTAATTGTTCTAGGGAAGTTAATTATAGAAAAATATTTCTCTTATGTAATTATAAGGTGATATATATGACATTGGTCATTTTTTGTGTTGTCAGTAGCATTGTGTAACAGAATAAACAATGTTGTATTGATTGGAGGAAGCCGAAGTTCTCAGTAGAAAAATTTGAGTAATGGCTTCAAATCACTTTTTTTTTCTATATCCAGGGTTTGATTTTTTCAAGATTAAAGCTATGCAAATAAAAATGGATGAAGTTTGAAAGTATACTCAGCATATTTTTTAGCTTCATTTTGAGAGACAGAGCTTTCTTCTTTTTTTTTTTTTTTTTTCATTTTCACCAATATGAAAAGGCAGAAGCTAAGAAAATCCTTCTCTAATTTAGGTAAATGGAGCCGATCTAAATGACTGTCCCTAGCGGAAATGTTACTAGATTTTTCACTAGTGTACTAGAAGATCTTAAGAAAATCTGTATCTAAACTGGGGTCCTGTATATATGTGTATGTCTTTGCTTCACTAGAAAATACCTCAAAGCCATTGTTTTGGGAGGTTTTATGTGGAACAGAACCTTAATAATCCATCAGATTGGAAATATTACCATTCATCTCACTAATTTATCTATTGTTTACTCATTCATTAAAGAAATAGTCATTTATTGAGCAGTGTTAATGGGATACAAAGCTATCTCTACCCAAGTACTCCTGTCATTCTTTCCTTTTGTCTTTTAGAAAGGAGCTTTGTTTCCTCCTGTTCATCTAGGTGACTGTTTCCTATGAAAAATAATAGAGGCTGAATCTTAAGCTGTTCAAAGTTATTGTTTATCAGAATAATTTACAGACTGTTTCACAGAAGCTTTATCAATAACCCTGACTCTAAGGTTTCGATGAAGCTATTTTTTATGTTGACTTTTAATCTGAACATCTAATTCATTCAACATTAATTAAACCCATGCTGTGAGCTAGGCACTGTACAATGTATTGGAAAGAAAATAAAATAGAATGCCACTGGCTAATCTACTTCTTTTCTAGTCTATGACAGGGGTTAAAACCCTGTGCTTATCTCAGTCTTAAAATGTTAATACTTAACATAATAAATCATTATTATCCATATATTTTTCTCTTCCCTTAGATTGTCAGTTCTTTGGAAGGAATAATAACATTTTTTTTTATCTTTTAACTTGATTATCTAATTTTGCATAGTACCTTGTATGTTGTATGTTCTAATCTCAGTAACTGTTTGTTGAGCCAGTGAAGCAGTGAGTAAACAAACTATGTTGCCATGAGCAATTTAACTAGGATGCGTCTGTTTGGAAATTCTTACTAATAGTTATTGGCCATAATGTTTCCCTAGTTTCTGGTATAGGAGTTAGACAGCAATTCTCAAACAACTTTCAAAACAAAAATTTGGTAAACAAACAAACAAAAAAATCAGATGATTTGACAGATGCTTTAGAGTTTCAAGCATCTTGTGTACCCAAGTCTAATGTACTCATTATTATTTTTGCTAGATTATAAGCTTCTTTTATTCAGTTTATCAATCAGTTGAAGGAAAGCTAGTATGGTGCTAATGGCTATTACTTGGGTTATGAAAAGTTATTTAACTTAATTTTTGTTTAAGTATCTCTAATTTCAAAAAATGGAAAAATGCAAGCAAAGATAGTCTAAGAAACAACCAGAAACCATAACAAAAGTATTTTTCTAGAAAGAAAAATGTGCCACACATAGACAACGAATATTTTCTTTTTTAAATGGAATTTCCTATTTACTAAGTTGAATTTCCTAAAGGTGAATTTTAATAATCTTCCACTTATTAAGTATATAGTTGGTACTTTTGGTCCTATATTCTTAATAACAAACTTTTTTGGTTTCTTTTCAGACTATTCAAAAGTTCATCTAACACAGTTGTTGGAGAAGGCTGAAGTGATTGCAGGACGTATGCTTAAGTTTTCTGTTTTTTATCGTAATCAGCACAAAGAATATTTTGACTATGTTCGGTAAGATTCAAAAATATATAGTGGTTTGTTTTACTAAATATAGTTAAAAATTCTAGGCTCAGGTTTCCCTTGAGTCTAGTTCTGTCAAATAGCAATTCTGGTTTTTTCAAAATAATTATATGGATTTTTATTTTCCAGAAAAATTAAGTAGAAAAAGATCATGAGATTTTTTTTTTCTACTTCACTTAGATTCTTTCCCATAATCATTTCTGATACCAGTTCCTGCTCATTTGACTAGAGGATCTTAAACCTATAATATTTATATTGATGAGCATTTCATGTTTACACTTGTCCTGCCATCTGCATCATACTTACTACTAATTTTTTTCTCTTTTGTGGGTCTTTTTAAGACATTGAAAATGAGAGGATAAAAGAATGACTGTTTCATGAAATATGGTGAATCAGGTGGGATTCACAGACTTCTACCTAAATAGAAGTCTTTTAGCTGTTGTATTAGTGTGTTTTTCAGCCTGCTGACAAAGAGATACCTGAGATTGAGCAATTTACAAAAGAGGTTTATTGGACTTACAGTTTCATATGGCTGGGAAGGCCTCACAATCATGGCAGAAGGCAAGGAGGAGCAAGTCACATCTTACATTGATGGCAGCAGACAAAAAGAGAGCTCCTGCAGGGAAAATCCCCTTTGTAAAACCATCACATCTCGTGAGACTCATTCACTATCAGAACAGCCAGTGCAGGAAAGACACGCCCCCATAATTTAATCATTCCCACCAGGTTCTTCCCATGATGTGGGAATTGTGGGAGTTACAATTCAAGATGAGATTTGGGTGGGGAAACAGCCAGACTGTATCAGCTGTTATCTTGAATTAATTATTATGAGGATAATCTCTTTTGTTTCCTTTTGAATTCTAGTGATTTTACTAGAATTTCTAAGATAGCCTATATTTATCCCTGGAAGCACTTCCCAAGATGTTAAAAGAACTCTATCATGAGGTAGTTTTTATACTTACAGCACTTTCATATTTGTAGAAGAACATTTGAAGAGAATAAATAGCCAGATGTATATTTTGAAGTGAGACTAAGGCTTTTAAAATGGCAAATGCTATATAGGATGTAAAACTTCTACACAGCGATCTCTATAATTTGTCATTTTAAAAGCCTCAATTCAGACTCTAAAGGATCCTTAAGTTGACAGGACTCTATATGAAAAATATTTAAGAAACTTTTCTGTTCTTTGTGTTTCTTTCATTCTTCTCTAGTTTCTGTTAAATGAATACTGTGGTTCCAAATTTAAATCAGCTTCAAGCTGTGGAAAATGCAATAGGAATCAGAGAGAACACACGTAGGCATCTGTGTTCTTCAAATTAAGTACTTAGCAAGCGAATATATTTTTATGCATTTTGATGGTGAAAAATATTCCTGCCATTTGTTTGAATATCTTATAAATACAGATATTCAATTTCTCAATTGGTACATACCCTAGAGTTCATATAATTCCTGGTAGATACCTACGTTCACCTAATTTAGAGAGTAGAGACTGATAGACAAACATAAATTATTGTGCTTGGCAATGACCATATAGACTCAGCAAGGGAGATGTTTCTTTATGCAAATGCTCCTTGACTTCCTAATAAATTCACTGTAAGTTGAAAATACCAAATTGAAAATGCATTTAATATACCTAATCTATAAAACATCATTGCTTAGCCTAGCCTCCTTAAACATTTTCAGACCACTTATATTAGCCTGCCATTGGACAAAACCATCTAACAGAAAGCCTATTTTATAAAAAAGTGTTGAAAAGATAAAAATTCAAAGTACAGTTTATACTGAATATTCATCACTTTCACACCATCATAAAGTCAATTGTAAGCCAAACCATCATAAGTCAGGTACTGTCTGTATATGCATACAACTGAAAAAAAAAAGAAAACTCCCTATTGCTGTTGTCTTTAGTAAGAAACACATCAAAAGTAAATAATTACATCTTTTATTCTAGGTTTATAATCCTGGAACATTGCCAATATCTATTTTAGGTGGCCACTGGAGGGCAGCATTTCTTTATGATTTTTCTCTGTTCCTTGGATGGGAGCTGACCTGTTTTTAGCTCCTTTAGTAATCTAAAGTTTGGTTCATGTGTTTTCAGAAATGCTTCCAAGAATAAACAAAGATAAAGACAGAGTGCCTAGAAAATGGATAATTATTGTGTATATTGCCTGATTTTACTCCCAGTTACCAGAATGAAAGCTGTGTTTATTCACTAGAAAATTTACCTTTGCTAAGTTTTCCATAATAATAGTTATAAAATCCATGTAAACTATGTCTTAAATCAGTACATGTAAATAAATATACTTTCCACAGTGCGGTATAATTTTTCAACATTGCTTTTTAAAGAAGCCTTATTAAAAAGTAGTAGACATTAATTCCATGGATGTTGATTTTCTTTTTGTCATTAATTCTAATTAGGACACATTTCCTTAATCCATTTTAAATATCATCATGTTATTCAGAATGCTTGAATAGAAACTTTCAGCTACTGGATAAACTTTCCAAAGTTTATAATCCATTTAAAATTATGAAAAACTGGATAAATCCTTATTCAGTTCCTAAGGAATGAACTCATTTTGACCTCTTCCTATATAAATGAATTCCTAAATGCACATTGCTTTCCCATACTCCAAACAAAAATACCACTTTCTCTCTTACCCCTTGTTCAGATTCACTAGGTAGTCTAATTGTCCTTGAAACTCCTTTTATATCCGAAAGATTTCAGGAATTCACTGAGATTGGTAGACATGTAGGAATGTCTCTCATTCTGGTGTCAGATTGTATATTCCCAAAGTGCAGCTTCTAGTACACATTTTGTTTATATATTTGTTGCTATTATTTCATGTCATTGCACTTATAGATCCAGGTAGGACACATATAATATAGATATTTGGGTTTTGTTAATCAGAATGTAACAAGGGTGAGAAATTTTGAATGGGGACAAAAGGGAGTAGACACTCTTTTCCCTATTTCTCCCACTAAATACAACTAAAAGCACTGGACATTATATATAAAATAAATATAAGAAAACTAAGGGGGAAAGAAGATGTATCAGCTAGGGACCTTTGGGATTCAACAGCACAGTGGTGAGTTCCTTGGGTTTTCTTTTAACCTCTTACATTCTGGACTAGGTGCTGGAGTATCTGGCAACACAGACATGCCAGTTGGTACAAACAAAAAAAAAGAACACCAGAAAGTATGTTTGTTTATGCACAGGATCAGGAAAGAAACTGAGGTCTTCCAATACAGAAACCTTTTGGACAATAACTGCCATACTCCAGGCAAACACTGTAGAAAAAAAAAAAAACTGTAGTCCCCCATCTACCAGCCAAGGCTAAGAGGGGAACCTAAACCTCTACCCTCTCACATCTATAAGGGGACACCCCCCTCTCTCTACCCTCTGCTAGGGTGGTATCAGAGAAGGCTGAATAGGGAGACTGGATTTTCCACCATTGCCCGGAGACAATGAGGGTTGCCTTCATAGTTTGTGAAACCTACATGTCAAGTAGTAATGAGACACCCCTTCTCTCTCTGGCCTATAGTATGTAAGCACAGGCCTAGTGGGAGTCTAAACTCCTATCTCCTCCAAGTAGTAACTGAACCCCCTAGCCTGTGTCACTGGAGACTGAGTAGGAAACCTGGACTTTTATCCCCATCAACATCAATTAAGTGACTACCCCATACTCTTCACCCATTGGTAGTCAAGAAGAGGACTGCTAAAATACTAGATTTAAATAAGATCCAGAATATAATAACATAATATGTCCAGGATACTAATGGAACTCATGCATCACACCAAGACCCAGGAAAGTCTTAACCTGAATGAGAAAAGATGATAAAAGATACCAAAACCAAAATAATGCAGATCTTAGAATTATCTGACAAAGATATTTAAGCAGGCACCATAAAAATGGTTCAACAAGCACATACTAACACATTTGAAGCAGCAAAGAAAGAGAAGGTATAAAGAACTAAATGAAAAATTTGGAACATAAACACACAGTAAGTAAAGTAAAAAGCTGGATAGATTCCATGCGTTCCACAGCAGATTCAAGAGGACAAAGAAAAAAACCAGTAAACTTCTTGAAGATAGAATAGAAATTACCTAAATTGAACAACAGAGATAAAACTCACTGAAAAAAAAAATATATCAGTCTTATGGACTTGTGAGACTAAGTCAAGAAGGAAAGGAGAAGGAGGGTGGGACTGAAAAAGTATTCAAAGAAATAATAGCCAAAATGTTCCCAAATTTGGCAAACAACATAAACATACAGATTCGATCTAAGAAAACCCTAAATAGGGTAAATCCAAAGAAATCCATGCCAAGATACATCACAAACTGAAAACTGAAGACAAAAAAAAACCTTGAAAGTGCTGAGAGAAAAGACACCTTATGTGTAAGGAAAAATAAAACAATTTGAATGACATCATCATCAGAAACTATCTAGACCAAAAGGAAGTGGTATAATATTTTCAAATGCTGAAAGAGCACTGTCAACTGAGAATTCTATATCCAGTGAAAATATCCTTCAAGAATAAAAGGGAATTAAGATATCCTCAGATAAAGGAAAACTAAGAGGATTTGTCAACAGCATATCTATCTTAAAGGAAGTTTCTGAAATAGGAAAGAAGGAAATAATAAAAGAAGGAATATTGGAACATCAGAAGGAAAAAAGAACAGTCCAAGTAAAAGTATGGGGTCACATCCAGAATATCACACTGCATTTATTTGTTATATTTCCTTATTCTCTTAACTGCGACAATTTTTTGGTCTTTCCTTGAATTTGCATAAAATAAGCTCCCTAGCTGGTTTTCAGGTGGTAAATTTAAGATCCATTGCTGCTAAATTCAGAGGTAGATCGAGTGCACATCTCAATGATCCATAAACTCTTTAAGAAGCACGTTGACCCAGGGAACTTTCCCTTGCTTGAGTCGTAGCTTGAACTTTGCCTCCCAAGTCATACTGGTCAGGGAGCCAGCAAAGCAAACAAAAAACAAAACAAAATAAAAAAACCAAGGCACATTTGAGGGATTCTGGAGAGAATTTAACAAAACTACCCATTATAGAGGTGTAGTCAGGGTTAAGATACCAAGTAAGGGATGCTAATGTAACCAAGAACTAGCAGGAATTGAAAAGTTTTACTCTTCTTGGGAATTAAAGGGAGTAGGAACTCATCCAGCAGTAGCAGTAGCAGTAGTCAGGTATACATAGTTATGAAGAACCCAGCCCTGCCAGAAACAGAATGCCCTGAAGCATGGAGGAAATATAGAAAGACACACCAAAGTCTCTATCTCCTCCAACTCTATATATGTTGGTGTCTTACATTCGTAGAACTGAAATGGAAGAGTCCAAGGGATAAGGAACTGAATAAGAGTTCCAGGCCACAGTGGAAGACTGTGGTGGAGAATGAATGGATCTGAGGGTGAGGTAAAGGGGGAATAACCAGCACTGTTCTAAGCAAAATGCCAGAGAAATAACCTGATTAGTAAACCATCCTTGTGTTAAAAAGCCAAAACAAAACACAACACTTTTGTACCAGTATAAATGGACAGGACTCATTTTAAAAACATTCAATATATTTAACTAGCCAATACCTTTAGTTCAGTTTTCCCTTCAAAAAGCCACTTCTGAAACCTAGTTGGCAGTTAATGTATGTATGATTTTACCTGTAAGGTTTCTAAGTCCAGTTTAATTTTTCTGGTGAGGAAATTTATATAATTATGTTAATTTAATGCAAGGTTTGTAGCAGATCATCCTTACCTTAAGGTCAAGGATAGAATTCAGCCATCTATAGGCAATATCAAAAGATGTTGCCCCTTTAGTCTGATAGGAGAGGTATTCAGGCCTTTAACAGTAGATGTTTGACATGTGGGCCATTCAAATATATAAATCAATGGGTTTACCACAATTGTATTAAGCAGTGACCACTTGTTTTCTCTTGCAGAGAACATCATGGGAATGCTATGCAGCCCTCTGTCAAGGATAACAGTGGTAGCCATGGCTCTCCTATCAGTGGAAAATTAGAAGGCATCTTCTTCAGCTGCAGCACTGAATTCAATACTGGAAAGCCACCCCAGGATTCACCTTATGGAAGATACAGGTTTGAGATTGCAGCAGAAAAACTTTTTAACCCCAATACTAACTTATACTTTGGGGACTTCTACTGTATGTACACTGCTTATCATTATGTGATTCTTGTTATTGCTCCTGTGGGATCACCAGGAGATGAATTTTGTAAGCAGCGCCTTCCTCAACTAAATTCTAAGGATAATAAATTTTTGACCTGTACAGAAGAAGATGGGGTGCTGGTTTACCACCATGCCCAGGATGTCATTTTAGAAGTCATTTACACTGACCCTGTGGATCTTTCTCTGGGCACCGTGGCAGAAATCACTGGTCATCAGCTCATGAGTTTGTCTACTGCAAATGCAAAGAAAGATCCCAGCTGCAAAACCTGTAATATCAGTGTTGGACGTTAATGCCCACTCTTCTTATTCTTACTCAGCCCCTTTTCTTCCCTTAGGAGCATTGGTCCTCTGTTGTCCATTTTCATCATCAGATGTTTTCCACTGAAGCATGCACATGCCACTGTCGCCAAAAACAAAATACCACTTTCCAAATTTCATTCAGAGCCATTTTAGTGTTTTCCTATTCCCTACCCCTCCCACTACTTTCAATGATGACATACCCTAAGTTCTTCTGACACTTTATTGCCTAGTTGCTGCAATGTTTTTATGTTTCCTTTATGCCAAACATAACAAAACAGTTATATAGACTGCTTTAGCAAAGTACAAAATAATGGCTTATAAATGGTGTTTAAATATGCATTCATTTTAATCTACTGAATAAATATTGGAATAACTCCAAATCGCATGAAAGGGTGTAATTGCAGCATGAGTTAAATCTTGAAGCCTAGAATTGTCAGCATTTCCAACTCCTTGTTTGACAGTGTTATTTATGTTATTTATATTAGCTAACAGGAAACAACTACTGTGTTATCAACATAATAAATATAATAGAAAAATATTTTATTTGTATTGTTGTATAAAATATTTACAATCATATAGAATATATAGAGTTACATTTTAATAGCAATTGTATACATGTCATGAAATCATTTCCCTTATCAAAGATGTAATTTGTAAACCTCAAATAATTGTGTATCTGTCCTGTTACAAGTAGATGACTTCAATTAAACAAATTTATGAAGGACATTATTCTGATTCATAAAGTTATAAAATATTAGGTAAATACAGAGAAAACAATAAGCCTCTGAAATAGTCTATTTCTGAAATAGTCAATAGTCTTCCCATTAAAACTATAAGAAAATGTGAATTTCTTCAACATCATTCTTAAACATTACAGAAAATAGAAATACAAACATGGTTGCTACATGAGAGAAAATGTTGCCCTTTTACTTCCTTTTACAAAAATGAAAATAATAAACAGGTCTTAGTATAAAATAACACAAAATGATATGCACTAAAGTTGATGAAGCAAATAAATATTCTGGCTTCTTTTCCAAGGTGTCAGGGCAAACAGTTTCCAAATCTTTCATTTTGTACAGATGGAAGAATAACTTCAGCTCATGGGAAATTTTTTGACTTTACAAAGTATATACCTTGCAACATTAAGAAAAATGTATACTCCCAATGAAAAAATAGTTATATAATCTTATAGTAAACAAAAGGATTAGCAGTAATACTATGGTCACATTAGATTATATACTGCAGACACATATCTATCCAAAATACCTATTTTAAATTTTTAATACAATATTTTATTTTAATATAAACATCTGTCAGTTATAGACAAAGATAGTAATTCACAAAGTACATGCTGTCAGAATGAACTTTGGTAACCAGAAATGTAAAATTTCAAATAACAGATAAAATAATGTTATTTTTATAGAGAAATAAAAAAAATTGCAGTGACACAATCTAGTTTATTTTAGGGTACTGAAAGCCTCACAGACTTAAGGGACAAGATAGTAAATGTTTTATCACTCAAAATCCATCAGAAGTTTCAAATAAATTACTTTCTTGCTAGCTGTATTCTTTCCTACCTGAAAAGAAAAATTTGTTTTCTTCCTCTTATTGATTTTTTAAAATCATGCTCTTTTTCATACATCATAAACAATCTTTGGATACTAAAACTTCCCCTAACAAGTGTCCCAGCTATGTTGTTTAGATTTGATAAACTATTAGAAGTTTTTAAAAATAATTATATTGACTGTAAGTTTTCTGCTTGGCATGGAGGACACTGAATTGTTTCCCAATTATATGGCTACCTGTTGTATCCTTCCTTCCATTTAAATCCCTTCTCCTTGTATGTAATTAAACTTGTTAATCCTTCTTAAAAACAGCTAAGACTACAACTAAAGTGCTTCCATCTTCATTGTGTCAGAACTACTTAGCAAGGGTGGCAGAGAAAAATAAACTTGACTTTATATCATGGGTGAAAGTAATCATAACATTTCCTGAACCTCAAATAGTTTTGGCCACATCTTGCTTGCTGATGAGGACCTCTAATAGTCTCAGTTTGGCTTTTATGTGCTTATATTCATAATACTCATCTGCCATTGGTATCCTGTCTTCCTTTTGTGGACTTCTGCAAAAAAAAAAATACGTTTATTAGTTCACAATGAATCCAGTCATTAAATATTCTTTTACAATTCAAATATGAAAAAGCATATTGTAACAGCTTCCACTTGGTTTTTGCATCATATCTTCTTTTACTTCCCTTTCACTTTCATTCACTCTCTCTTCCATGTGTTTAAGTTTCTAAATAATAGTAACCTTTGAAAACTTGAATGACATAAGTGTTTTGAAAATTTGTGGTCCAGTGCATAGACTTACAACAATGGGGTAAGTGAAAAGATCTAAGGGGAAATAAACAAACAAAAACCAAAACTTTCAAGGCATTCTTTGTCCAGTCATTCTCCCACTATCTGTCACAGTCCTATACTTGTACAAAATGTTCAGCCCTAATAGAGTGGTTAAAAATATTAACCTGAAAATACTACATAAATTACATTTTAAAAATAATTTAATAACTTATGGTAACAAGAAAAGCATTCAGGGTCTCTCTTACAAATTTGAAACATTTCCAGACTTTCTTGTAATTATAATACCTGTGTCTGCTAATATATAGTAGAACCACTGATCTGTTCCTTAATTGAAGTAATTTATGAGAATCTACATTGCAGTGGTTCTCTTCTGTACACTAATTCTACTAAGGCTAAACATGTAACAATGCATAGATTTTTATACATATGCAGTATGCGCTTGCTGTTGACTTAGATGAATACCTTGGTAACATGAGGAGTTAAAACCATTTGCCTTCCCACAAAAATATGTTGTCAGAATGTTTTCTAAAGGAAATAATTGCGACAGGGTCTCAAAAGTCTCTTGTTTTTTGGTTAATAAGATAGCAAATTGTTTTGAAAACGTTTGCACCCATGACTTTGAAATTTAAGGAGTTGAGGACACGGATATAGTCACTACAATTACAACTGAATATAACCACAAATACTGTCTAATATTACTATGGCTGAAACCAGGTAAATAGCATATATTTAATGTTTTACCTTTACCCCTTTCTATTTTTCCAATAGTGATAAAGAGATATTTCTATCTCTTACCAAATAAAAAACAAGCTAATCTATACAGATTGTCTATGAATGTAGTATCTACTTGTATTTCATAACTATTTATTGCCCTGCAATTTCTAGTACAGAACTCAGAACAGTATACAAATCCATAGAAAGCATTCTTCTTAACTATTGTCTAAATTATATAACATAAATCCTTTACCTTCATTCTGTGTTATGAGTCAAACTTATCATAACTGGGTGTCTGAATACCATCTTAATTTCTATAAATAAATCTAAGTAAAGAAATTTCCTAATTATTACAGAGAACCATTAATAATGCATTATGTAATTTTCCCTAGTTTTACATATTCCATTTTGGTTAATAAGAGTGCTTTGACACGAATGAAAAGTTTTGCTAAGTCTTTCCTGAAGCAGTTTCCCCATTATATAAAACATACTGATGTGCTTACCACAGTGGCAGGCTCATAATTATTAATAATAATGTAATATCTATATGATTCTCATGCCTCTTCTATGGCAAATATTACCAAGAACATTTACAGTGTCTTAAACATTTTAATTCATTTGCATAGTTATTTTACCTTATGGATAGTTAGGCCTTCCCAGTGAAATGTCTTAGATAAAGAAAATTAAGGTCCATAATTCCTAGCCATTCAATGGTTTGATTTTAGTTGTAAAAGATCATCATTTGTGCATTTAGTTGAAATATGTCACCACAAAGGGGCATAAACTTCAAAGCCAAATATAGGCTTATCTGACTTGGGCTTAGGACTCATAGGTCATTACATAATGGTAAAAGGATCAATGCAACAAGAACAGCTGACGATCCTAAATATATACGTACCCAATACAGGAACACCCAGATACATAAGACTTATAAAGAGACTTAGACTCCTACACAATAATAGTGGGAGACTTCAACATCAATATTAGATAGATCAACAAGACAGAAAATTAACAAGGATAACCAGGACTTGAACTTAGATCCGGAACAAGTAAACTTAATAAACATTTATAGAACTCTCCACTTTAAATACATAAAATATACACTCTTATCAGTACCACATCACAGCCACTCACAGGTTTAAATGAAATATTGGTTGGCTACTTGTTTGTTATTTTCTTCCCTCATTAAAAAAAAAAAAAGGACTCATACTTGCAGTGTCAGTTATGTTCTATACTATGCATAGAACATAACTAACTTCCCTTTATGACCAAAAGCATACTAAGTGACACTGCAGATCCACTAGGCAGGACTAGTAGCACACTGGGAGGTTCTCAGACCCCTTAAGATAGATTCCTGGGTTCAAACTGGTAAAAATATAAATTTATTCAAAGAACTCAAATTTATGAAAATAATGTATGCACATCTTAAAGTATCATTTATCATATGTAATGACTGTTTGATTTAGAATATTTGATAACATCTCCACAAATATTTCCCTGAATGAAAAATTCCCATAACATACCATTAATCCAAAAGAGGCAGATATCAAGGACTTTATAGTGCAAGTTACATATTTACCCAAATATAGCAGACAGTCCAGAAAAAATTATTACTCAAAGGAATGTTTTGCAAGGAAAGTTACATGAACATTTTATAAAAGAAAAAAGTATGGAAAAAGTAAATTAGTAACAAATGCTTTATATTCTAAATTTATGAGCCACATACCATTTCTCACTAGATTAGTTAACATCACCAAAAAGGTAAGTTGGACTTGTAGCAATCAACTTCAAGATTACAGATAGAAAGTAAGTTGTTACATCTGTATTTGCTGAATGCAAAGAGCTTTTCACTCAATAGGTCCAGTCCTAAAGAATATCCCTGGCAGGCTAACATGGAAAACCTGCCAGGGACTAAGAGGTGAGTAGACCAAGCTTGAGAGTTTCAAGGTGCTTTGGGAAAATAGTCCCTTTCCTTGAGGACAACTCTCAGCCTGCTGAACTGAAAGGTCAAATACAATACCTAAATGGAGATGAATACAGAGAAGCCAGTGTAGCACTGATAAGTTTATGACTTGAATGATGAGTTTAATGTCATGTTATCTACTTAGTAACTTGTGGCTGTGGGAAAGTTACACTCTAGATTTATTTATTTTTTTAAAGATTGTTATCTCACGTGACAGCTGTAGCTTCCCAAAGTATTCTAGGAGTCCAGTCATTTCAGCTTATAAAGTGGGAACTGAGGCTCAAGATAACTTAAGTAATTTATCTCTCTTCCAAAAGTGGATCAATAACCCTTATCTCCCAATTATGTATGTAATTTTGTTGTTGATACATACACCAAAAATTAGAGGAAACTAATAGAGTGTATAATGAGACTTGGGTTTACACAGAAAAGTAGAGGAGAGATGATAAAGCTAACCATTTATTTAAGGGGTAGAAAGAATGACTATGAATTTTTTTATCA